ACTTTTCACTGCTCACTAGCGGGCGCGCCCCTGGTGGCCAGATCAGGTACTACAACTATATATAAAACGCTCTATTTAAGCCCTGCCTTCATAACAATCGGTATTGGTAGATACCCATAGTCGATAGGGGTGGAAAGGGATGGAGGAAAGAAAAGGAGGGAAGGAGAAGGGGAAGGGAAGGAAAGGGGGAAGACGGAAAAGGGAAAGGAAAGAGAAAAGAAAATTAAAAAACAAAAAAAGCATCCCCCCTCGATCTCTTACCAAGTATGTCTGAGTTTTTTTTTAATGCACCACATTCCACAAATGTTTTTAATGCACTACACATTAAGGCACAGTGGGAGATGGAGGGATCAGACATAGGGAAAGTGGAAGGGGATTGTATCTCTAAATATGGTGTGCGTAAATAATTTGGGATAACCCTATATAATAAAATCTCTATATTTCATATATGTAATCCACATATATGATTATTTATTTATTTATTTATTTATTTTTTTATGTGTGTATATAAATGTATAGGTGCGTGTGTATATCCGTGGGTACATATATGTATGTATTTATGGGTATATATCTGTATGCAGACTTTATTTTATTTGTATTTTTTTTTTTTATTTATTTATTTATTTATTTTTTCCTCTCCTTCTGCCACTATTACTGCCTTCAACAATCCTTATAGGTTAAACACTTCAACCATGGGTACAAACATATGCTTGCGTCTGGGTATATCGGTTGGACCATTTTCTATTTTTTTAATCTTTTTTTTTTTTTTTATTAATATTATTATTTGTTTTATTTTTATTATTCTATTTATTCTTATAACTTGTATTACTGTTTGTCTCATTATACATTTACTACCGCACCATTTCTTTCTTTATATAGCTCCAATATATCCCATGTCTTCTCTAGCCATAGGTTAAAACTTATCATCCAGTGTTATGCTTATTGTCTGTCCATTATTTTTCTTTTTTTGTTCTTTTATAGTTCATAAATTAATAATAATGTTGCTTGCACAATGTACTGTTCCACACACACACACACGCACGCACGCCACACACACACACCCTCACACGCGCACAATTTGCTGTATTCCTTAAAATATGTGTCTCTACACATATTCTTGTTTGTTTGTTTGTTGAATGTATGTTACCTTGAAAATCAAATAAAGGAAAAAAAAAAAAGATACCCATAGTTCCGGTATCGGTATCGGTATCGGTAGTAAAAAAGCTGGATCGGTGCATCTCTATTTAAAAAGTCTAATTTTGTTCAGTTAAAACAAGGCCCTAAATATGCTTTTCTAGTCTGCATATGGAGTCATTACCTAATCCACAATATATATATTTTTTTATAGAGCCGGCATGCATATACTTCTAGTTTAGAAAAAAATACAAAAAAACTTCACAGCAAAAAATGATACGTAAAATCTCGAATTAAGACATTTTCATCTAAAAAATGTTGACAGTTTCTGAGATTATGCCCGAGATTAATGCGTCTGCCCAACAACAAAACAAATGTGACTTGTTTGTGCCATTGAAAAATCGTCTAAGTTTTCTCAAATCAAGAGATTTGTAATGTGTTGTTTGCAAGGAACTTAAATAGTCTTTGGAATTCGCTTTTGGATAGAGATTTATAAACAAATAAATCCCATTTGTAGTCATCATATTTATTTTGCAGGCCATGTATATTAAGAAAGGGAGGTGCTCATGGACAAAGTTTTGCTCCAACTCGCTCTGGCTCCTATTGACTTACATTTTTGGCCTGAGAAATCCTTGCCGGGTGACAGTAGCTCAGTTGGTAGAGCATTGGCCTTTGAGCCTGAAGGTTGTGGGTTCAAGCCCGCCACAAGACCTACTCCACCGACTCCCAGTGATGTCTGTTGTTGTTGTGTCCTTGGGCAAGACACTTAACCCCACTTTGCCTGAAGTCCCTGCTGGATTCACCACCTGCAGAAGGATCAGTGAGGGGCTGGTGCTAAGTGCTCTGACTGCCACCCAGAAATGGATTAAAGGTAAGAAGGTGGATGGATGGATGGATGGATGGAAATCCTTGCTATGATTCTGGTGTTTATACTTTTATATTGTCTTTGTAAATCCAGATGTGAGCCACATAAGGAATCATTCGTTGGGGAAACTCCAGCTTGCCATAGCAACCATCCTAGCAACACATCTGCCGCAGTTACAGGAAATTGCCTCCAGAAAGTCTATTATTATTATTATTATATTAAAGTCGGCTTCTTCCGCATTTGGCGAAAACCTTGAAAGACGTCAGAATTCTGTCAGTCCATTCCTAATACACGGTCTGTGCACCTAAATCCCAATCACAGGAGCGAGGATGTGATGATGTGATCAGGACTGTCGGGGGGAGATCCAGAAGCACTTAGTATGAGCTCAGTCAACAGTTCAGCGCTCCATCAGGAGGAAGCAAAGTGCTGCGCTGGCAAAGGTTCTACTGACGCACAGATGCTTAAGAGGTGTCAAGGCAATTAGCAGCAGGTCGCCCTCATGCTAAAGCTAGAGCTAGTGGCTAAAGCTGCGACGGTACAACCTTTGTTTTACAGGTCATCCACACAACTGCAGCTGTTGATTATTTACTAAATAGGTTTTAATTGATCTATTTTCTAATTTGTACAAAGCAGACCACTGCCAAGAGGTGCAGCCCCATTCATTTTGTTCTATTTAGCTGTGCCTATCACTGAGTTTCATGTATTGGGTTTTAATTCTGACATCAACTGTTGTTTTTATCTTATAATGCACAATAATAATGCATCGATTTTATAAAGCGCTCTCTTGGACACTCAAAGACGCTTCACACGTCATTATTTTTTCGCTCCATACACGGTGGTGATGAACTACTACTGTAGCCAAAGCTGCCTTGGGGAACACTGACAGAAGCGAGGCAACCAGTATGTGCCATCGGCCCCAGACTCAGTCAAGGCAATGTGTTTGAAGTGTCTTGCCAAAGGACACAGCAACAGTTTGGCAGTTTACAGCCGCAGCCGCCCCACTGTGGCACCTGGTGTTCCCAGAGGTCTCCCATCACAGTACTAACCAGGCCCTGCTTAGCTTAAGAGGTCTGACGGGATCTGGCTTTAACATGCAGGTATTGCCACATATGTTTTATATTGTTGATGTATACTATATGTATGATTGTATGTATTTGTAAAGCACTTTAGGTTGCACTGTATAAATTGTGTACCCTAAATTCAATCATTTTAGATTTAGTGAGAATTGAATACAAATTGGGTTTACATTTTTACATCAAACTCCCTTGCTAAACTAATAATACATCAGTAGAAAATGTCTTTTGTTACAGCAGGATCAGATCCATTTGGTCAAATTGTCTAAAATATGGCATGTGGCAAAAGAATATTCCTGTACTGATAGGGGCTGTCGTCATAACTGCGTTGTAGTGTTTCGATAAATGTTCTTATAATAATTTAAACCATATTTGTGATTGTATTAGGGACACAAACATTAGTGCTCAAAACTAAATTCCTTGATTAAAAATGTAGAGCTCTAAGTTGATCAATTTGCTCTCAATTTGATTAAATCTGAGTTAATTTGCAGCCATAACTGTCACTCTGTTTAGTGAATCAATTAAACACACAGCATTTATGGGAGTATTTCCTTAAGCTTCAAACAGTTAATCCCAGGAGATCCAAAAGCAGGAGTACAGTGTTCAAGTGAAATGACATTAAACAGGTTTAAGTTTCCTTGTGCGCGCTCTGTTGGCGTCAGCTGGGACTTCCAGTGTTATTTATCTGCTGCTGTGGTGCAGTTTTCTGATCACTATAAAACATGGCTGTGTCTGAAGTCTCCTAGATTCTTTTACAAGCACGGCAGCTCTCTGTAGTTACTGTAGTACGTGTAGAAGACGAGAGGGTCACAAGAATATGTCAAATATGAATAATTGTTAAATGTCCGTGTATATCTGTATTTCTGCCTGTACCTGTATGTCCCTGTATGTCTACCTGTAGGTCTGCTTGTACCTGTACGTCTACCTGTAGGTCTGCCTGTACCTGTACGTCTACCTGTAGGTCTGCCTGTACCTACCTGTATATCTGAACCTGTACCTGTAAATCTGCGCCTGTAGCTGTATGTTTACTTATATGTCTGCCTGTACGTGTATGTATACCCCTGTATGTCAACCTGTAGGTCTGCGTGTACATACCTATATATATGCGCCTGTACCTGCATGTTTACTTGTACATGTATCTGCCTGTACCTGTATGTACAGTATACCCCTGTATGCCTACCTGTAGGTCTATATGTATAATTAATGTAGGTCTGTATATGTGTGAAATGTTTATCTTTTGTTCTGCTAATAAAAAAAAGAATAATTTTCAATGGTAAATGGAGATTAATGCTGTGATGGCAAGTCCAGCTGTGGCCTGAATAGAAGGACTGGCCTAATCTGATTACTGAATGTAGGTTGTATGACAAGTTAGTCGTGGCTTTAAAAGATGATGAGACAAACACAAATAGTCCATGAAATAGGACACCAACTGTCGGAGGATTTGAATCACTCACACACACATTAAAACGCAATCAATACTTTTCACTTGAGCAAATATGTCATGCCTCTGAAGAGCATGTACTACACATGTTGACAATAGCAGAACATTCTTTTGAATAACATTGACCACTATAGAGAAGCTCAGCTGGACTGCTTTTGTAAAGTGCACGCTCTAGTGCCATAATGTCTGTCAAATCGAGTTAACAGACATTCCTGTGTTTGCTTGTTTGTTTGTATTAACAAATATTCTAATAAGAAAATATGCAAATCTATGTGTAAGCTTTGTTAGTTTACAAATCAAACACCATCCTCTGTTCATGCTCATTTTAACTTTGTATTTAACTGTATTTTAACTGTTTTTAAATGGCACTTTTTACTTGTATGTTTAGGCGACTTTGAGTGTCAAGAATGATGCCTATAAGAAATAAAATGTATCATTAGTATTATTGTTATTATTATTATTATTATTATTATTATTATTATTACCATTAACCTGACAAATGACACAACTCAACCAGAAAATTAGACTAACCTTTGCAGCCCTGCACCACACTTCTCTTGGTCAGAATAACATTAGCATATAGGACGATCGTTATTATTACAATCAATTTTATCACAACAATCAATCCTTTCTTCCTTTCAGCGAGTTAAAACAAACACACAAACAAAATAGAGCCACTCACTGGCACTATACTGGGACGCACAGTGCACCTGCAGAGTTTACTCCAATGCATCGCAGCAAGAAACAGCAAGTTCCAAGTTCACAGCCTTCACTCGCTCAGACTGCGACCATAACCCGGACTCCTACACGTGGTAAGACCAGCAGACGCACACGCAACAGCATCCCTCACCTTTGATGTGCTCGTTGACCACGCTCTCCAGGCGCTCCAGCCTCTCGATGATCTTGAGCGTCTCGCCTTTGCTGTCCTCCTCCAACTTTCTGCCTCCCTGGTCCCCGCGGCTGACCCTAACTTTGGCCGCCCCGCTGTTGTTGGACACATAGTTGGTCACCCAGCCCACGTAGAGCAGGCACACGATGTTGGTCATTCCGCTGAGGATCACACATGTCGAGACCAAAGTTTTCGTTCTCCGTGTGCACAGCATCATCGCGCCGTGCCTCCATAGGGCTCGCCTTTTGCGCGCTCTCTCTTCCTCTCCACGGTGGCAAAAAAACTAAAGTACTGTACCAGTCCTGCCAGAAGTCACCGAGGGGACATGGCCTTGTTCTCTCCGTGAGACTGTCCCGAGCGGAGTGAGCCGTGAGTCTGGGCAAACAGCGGAGGAGGATCCCACGGAGCAGCCGGAGAGCCAGGCACACACACGCACTCACACACACACGGGCAGTTTCCATCCAGCAGCATCCAGAGCGCGCACAGAGCCACGCACCAATGACAGCGGGCGGGGGCGGAGCCTGTTGCGCAAAGCCATCACAGCTGGAGGAGCGCTGGAGGGCATTGAAACAGCATCAGCCCTGGTTTTTTTTTTCATTATGAATCAAGTTTTCGGGAAAAACTTCCCGAAAACACGATGTGAAATTGTTGTATGGTTTAACACTAGAACTCTCGGAGCAGTACATTTTTCGGCTTGTAGTTTTGGAAGTGTAATTACTTATCTCATATGTTCTTGGTCTTCATAAGTTTTTCTGTTTCTATTTGTTGTTTCAAATTGATGTCATTATCTTTTATGAAATTATATTTTACTTTTGAAATGTGAGTAGTTCTACCTCATCAGAGAATACTAAGTTCTAGTTACCATAGCAACACTGTTTACGGTCAGAAGTTGGCATCAGACTTTTTTTTTAATTTAAGTTAAAATCATATTTTTTACCACTAGGTGAGAAAGGTAAAAAGAATAAAAAATAATATTTAAAAAAACGTATGAATTACTTTCTTTTAATGAATCTGATGAAAAACAAATATTACTTGGGAGAATTTTATTTATTTATTATTTATTCATTTTCACATCACAGGTATTGAATAAATTACATGTTGTGTTCATCTTTGCAATTTATGAACTTCTCAGATTTCCATTGGTTTGAATGGAAGCAGTCAAAATGACAGCTCTAGTAGTTTCAAAATTCTGGGAGTCCTATAGTTTTAAAGCAGAAACTACCAACAGAAAGAGTCTTCATATTTATTAAAGTATAACATGTGAAATCAGTACACATGTTTTCTTGCCCTGTGAGGCACTATTTGACCCCTTGGGCTGAGAGCTGATTGGCTGAGTGAGAGTGGTCCTGTCTTGTTCACTTCTCTGTCTGAAAAAGCTGATATAAAGATTTGCCCGGGAGAGAAAAATTATATGAGCATGTGAAAACTAGGCAAGGCAAGGCAAGTTTATTTGTATAGCACAATTCATACACAAGGCAAATCAAAGTGCTGAACAAAACAAGAAAGCATTAAAATCATAAATAAACAGCTAAACAGAACGTTTTAAACATTGTCAGAGAGGAGGCCTGTCTCACACTTTCAGGATGACTGTTCCAGATTCTAGCGGCATGAGTATGAAAAGCAGCCTCCCCATGTTTAGTTCTGACTCTGGACACTAACAGGATTCCAGTCCCTGTGCTCCTCAGAGTCCGGCCTGGTTCATATGGTACTAACATGTCACTAATATATTTTGGTGCGAGGCTATGGAGAGACTTGTACACAAGCAGAGCTGTTTTAAAGTCTATTCTCTGAGCCACAGGAAGCCAGTGCAGAGACCTGAGAACTGGACTAATGTGGTCGTACTTCCTGGTTCTAGTCAGGACTCAAGCTGCTGCATTTTGAATGTACTGCAGCTGTTTTACAGCCTGTTTGGACAGACCTGTGAGCAGGCCATTGCAGTAGTCTAACCTACTGGAGACAAATGCATGGATAAGAATCTCCAAGTCTGCTTTAGACACTATGTTTTTGATGCTGGCAATGTTTTTTAGATGGTAAAAAGCTTCTGATGTTACTGATTGAATGTGGCTATTAAAATGTAAGTCTGAGTCCAGTATTACCCCTAGATTTCTGACCTTGTTTGAAGGTTTTAGGGAAAGGGACTGGAGGTGACAGATGACGCTCTCTCTTTGTTTCTGGGGACCAAAGACAATCATTTCAGTTTTGTCTGTGTTTAGCTGAAGGAAGTTGTTTTGCATCCACTCACTGATCTGTTGGATACAGTGAAGGAGTGAGTCCACTGGTCCATGTTCTCCTGCAGTCAGTGAGACATAGATCTGAGAGTCCCGCTCTCCCCATCTGTCTATTGAGCGCCACCTCTACCAGCCCCATACCTACCAGATACACAAAATGCCTTCTGACATCTCTAGCTATCGCCAAGAGGATAATCTTACTAAACTGGAAAACCAAAAACTCAATAAGCATCAACCACTGGATCAACTCCCTCACTCATCACATCACCACACATCACCCATCATCTCAGGATGATAACGTACTGTCCTTTACGGAAACTTGGTCACCCTTCATCAAATACCTCAATATCACCATATACTAATCACTAGTGTTTGGAAGTCCTTGCGCGCACACACACACACACACACACACAGAGAGAATCCTAACATCATCAGTATTATGCTGCTAACCCTGTCACCACAGTAACCAACCTCTTTTTACCAAAGCAAAACTGAAAAAATGATTAAAACCAACAACAGACTCACACCTACTAGATCAGGCCATTCAGGAGGGGAGGCATGCGCTCTAGGGGTGACTCCCCTGGAGCGCAGACCTCCCACAGACCCCCGGATTTTTAATGCATAACATAAGCCACGCTCAACACACACATACAATACACACAAGATTAAACAAGGAAGTGGCCCTGCTGTTGCTGGAGGAGACCCCTCCAGCAGCAGCAGGTGCATGTTTTTAATTGCACTAGACGCGCACAAAAAAAAAAAAAAAAAAAAAATATATATATATATATATATATATATATATATATATACAAATAATAATAATAATAATACAAAATAAGCAAATCAATATATTGTCACATAAACAGCCAAAATACGTTACTGGGATCTGTGGAGACAGCAAGTGGCAGCACTCATTTTATTTTTTTTGTTTTTTTATTTTTTATTTTATTTTATTTTTTTTATTTTTTTTTTTCGTTTTATTTACTGTTATTGTTCTGTTTTTCTATTTCTTCTTCAGACACATATGGTCACACATTTATACATATACACAAACACTCAAATACATTAACACCCACACTTACACATTAGAACCTACATATTTCCACGACAGTACTTGCTTGTTATTTAGTTTTTTTATTAAGTATTTTGTTTTCTTTGTTTCATGCTCTGGATGCCTTAAAAATGCCCTAGCATGCCCCCCCCACTCCCCCTTCCCTCCCCCACCAATATATTCTGCACTACTATGTTGTACATAGTAATTTATGTTTTTTATGGAATCTGTATCACATGGTGTTAAATAAAAAAAAAAAAAAAAAAAAAAAATAGATCTGAGCGACGTCTGCATAGTTATGATAGGACACTTCGTTTCTGCGTACTAACTGACCTAACGGCAACATGTAGAGATTGAACAGAAGAGGTCCCAGGATCGACCCCTGTGGTTCTCCACAGGTCAGGGCCATATGATCTGAGACACAGTTTCCAATCTCCACAAAGTACTTCCTGTCTTCAAGGTAAGACCTAAACCAACTGAGGGCGGTGCCAGCGACGCCAACCAAGTCCTCTAGTCTCTGTAAGAGGATCTCATGGTCGACAGTGTCATAAGTTGCACTCAGATCTAACAAAATTAAGATTGAGACTTTGCCTGCGTCAGTGTTCAGCCGGATGTCGTTTTGTCACCTTGACTGTTCAGAGAGTGAGGAACTTTACTTACATAGTTTTATAGAACCCCAGCTGAATTATCTTTTTTTTTTTGCCACAAATAGTGAGCAGGAAAGTTTTTTTCTAAATAAAGAAATGACATGTCGACGATTGCATTCAATTACAATAGTGTTGGACTTATGTTTTCTGGTGCAGTGTCCACCACCTGCTTGTCTCATGATATTTACAATGTCTCTTCAGTTCCGCGATCTCTTATACATAATATCAAGTATTCATTGCCAAAACGCACTTCATGGGAGTAAAAATAGTCACGCAATTTCCTAGTCTGTGACTTCCTGTTTATTACATGGCAATAAAAATGATGCTGATCCTGATTCTTGTTGCCATGGAGATAGACAAGTTTATTATAGTTTTCTGGCATAAATAGGCTCTTTGCTGTAATTTTAGATTTCATATATTATAAAAAACTACATTTTGGAAACTTTAGCTCATTAATAAATAATATAATTTGAATTAATTATGTTGCTACATTTGTGTGATGAATTAAGAACAGCATCCCCTGTATTGTAAAGCTACGTAGCAACCAGTGTTGGAGAGAATACTTTGGAAATGAAGTTACATAATACTGCAAACCTGTTTCTTTTTGTCTGTTGATTCTTTGATCTGTGTTGGTGATTTCAATTGTTTTGTTAAGTCCTCTGAGATGACTGCTGTTGTGATTTAGGGCGATACAAGAATAAATTGTAATTCTATTGCATTGTACCTGTTTAAAAAAAGAATGTAATGTATTCAGATCCATAGTCCAATTCTGAATACAAGGAACCATGAAGTGTAAAACAACGGTTTTTGCCCTCTTTTTTAATGAATGATGTGAAAACACTTGTCTCCTGTAAAGTAACTGTATTCGAACTACTTCTTGCATGATGCAGCTTTAGTTGGATGAACAGGATCAGTTCTCACAAGCTCTGCGAATGCCTCTGAACCAGCACTTTCATCTTTGTCTTTCAACGACTGCTTTTCCAATCACACACTCCGACCCAGACATGGCGCCAAATGAAAACTCTCCACTCAGCCAGAGCAGGCAGCAGATTGAGCCCAACTGGTCTGTGGTATAAATAATGCATTAGAAGTGAAATATTAAGGCTCTTTCTCTCTCTCTCTCTTTCTGCCGCTGTCTACTTTGACTGTCTGTCTGTCCATGTGTCCTTATTGGTCTCTCTAAGAAACAACAAAAAGTTTCATCAATGAAAAGAAACATGAATATTATACTTCACTATTGCTGACCTCCTCACATCAGGTAACGCTTGATTCATGTCACGGCCGCAGAAATGTGACTGCTGAATAAATACATCCAAACACTACCTTTAGAGCATTCAACAACTTGGAATGAATTCTCCGTGTAAAGCAACCTCTCCATTTGAGATTTCTTCGAACAAGAAATGAGCTTTGTTGAATAGATGTGGAGATGAAAAGCAAGTTCTTTGACTGAGGTTATGTCAGTAAACAGATGTGCATAGACAACTTTACCAGTCAAGGATGGACACATGACATTTGTAAAGAAAGACGGCATATAAATCTTCATATAAGTGTCAAGGGAACAAGCATGGAGTACATCTTTTATAGCCTGGTCGTACCACACCATAGTACAAATTACATTTCGTACTAAGGTCTGGAGGCGCTCCATTGAGCTCCGTTTACAGGTGGGAGGGGTTAACTCCTTTTGCAGATTGAAACGATTGGATCTGAGTTTACTGTGACGTGTGTAGTGCGCCCGAGTCTGTTGTTAGCATTTAGCCTAGCAATCTACTTTGCCGCTAACAGAGCCTGTGGAGAGTAGAGCCACATTTTTTTCTAGCGATTACATTTGCTAAACATTCCTATTGCTCCGGCTTCAATTTCTTGATAGAACCAGACCGGATTACTTTACTATCGCATTTTTCGCCATTGCCAAACTACAACCTTCCCGTTCGACGCAAACTCTTGACGTCACCCACAACTAACTACAACACTCTCCTCCCGTGCTCGCTGGTAGGTCGGTCGAAATTCAACCGATTGTAATCGCTGACATGGGGACCAGACCCAGACGTTACATGCAGTGAAATGGTGATTGAGCGGAGTGTACGGATGGCTAAGGCCAGGCTACATCTTTTGTATATTTGAGTCATAATATTTTGCCACTATCTACGGACTGCTGAAATCTAAATATATAAATGTATAAAATGCAACAGTGCCTTGAACAAATACTGATACCTCATGATTTTTTTATGTACAATTGTAAAGTGAACTCAAAATGATACATTTTTTATTTTTTATTTTTTAATTTAGGGTATATTGCTACATTTTCCTTCCCATCAACTGACACTCTTCCCTGTCATCTGACCACGTCCTCTTCTTCTTCTTGTGGGTTAGGTTTTGACACTGACTTGCTGTTGGCCACTTGTCTATAAAGGTTAGATCTGTGTAGTGCATGACTTTCCCAGAGTCCCATGGATAGATTCTCCCCTGTGAGCTGTAGATGTCTTCAGCTCCTCCAAAGTGACCCTGGGCCATTTGGCTAGTTCTCTTCGTCTGTCATTTTTGCACCTATTAGTTTTGACAGACAGCTGTGTCTTGGTAGGTTTGCAGTTGTGCCAGACTCTTTCCATTCCCAAATTATGCATAAAAAAATAGCCGAACCACGCTTTAAACATCTCCACCACGTCACCCTTGTATGTTTGGAATTCATGGCGCGGTTTGATTACCAATATTCTGAGATTAAATAACACTCTGGTGAAATTTACTTGTAATGCGCTTTCAACATTTAACCATTCAGCATGCTAAAAGGAAACATCTCTTGACTGCACTGAGATACTTCATCAGTGTTTGGAGTCAAGGATATTTCAGGTCTCACAACAGACACTCTTGTCGCCTGTGTCCTGGCTGGGGTTGGCCCCAATCTGCAACGCAGTAGTAACCCACGGATCCACCCTTTTTATGCAGAACTACCTTGTGGCTTCATTGTGGACTGCAGGGCCCTCTTCTTGGCTGCTACAGTCGCGACCAGCCAGTACTCTGCAGCAACCAGCCTGCAAAGCCTCTCAGCCACTGCCCCTTCACTTCTGTCACTCGGTATCCCTGGATTCGACACCACAGAGGTGATTATCATGTCTAGCCGGAGAGTTGTTGTCTCCAGGGCTTCATGGTTGCGGATAAACTTTCAGAAACTCTTTTCAGCATCTGGTCTTGGCACTACCGATGCCAGAGCTTTCTACCAATGCCAGAGCCTTCAGGCAGCTGCTGAAGGGAACCCCGTCCAGGCTCCCTATTTCCACTGCTCTGCTCACGGTCCATTCACACGATTTCTTCCTGGAGTAGACGGTTTGTCTTCCCTCAAACCTCTACTTGGGTCTTTGAAAGTCCAGCAGAATTCTACTGCTCCCACTGAATCATACTTCTTTGTCTGCCCATGGTCTTCCGTTTTGTCCTGACCTCTATGTCTGCATATGCTACTTTGCAGAGAATGCCACTTGCTAATATATATATTTTTTTAAATGGCAGATGTAATAAGAAAAAAAATCTTGGTCCTAGTTGCAGTGTTACAAACGAGACAGGTTTGCCTTGTCTAGATGATTAACTGTCCCTAATTTAACTTGAGCTCTAAAATCATTGGTATTTAACTCAAAGCCCATATTGATGTGTCATTCGATAAATCCAAAAGGTTCAGTGGCCCTCTGGCCGAAGTGAAGACTGCTGTACTCCTGGTAATGAGCATAATCTTTTAGAATAGGACCCAGGGGAATGAGAGAGAAGTTAATTTGTTGAGAAGTTTGTGCCAGATTAAAACCATTTGTGGATCTTAAAAGGTTGGTCACATTATATAATTTCAAAAGTATAGAATTAAACACAGAATATTGGTTTATTGGGTTTATTATGGTTACGGATCCTCATTAGTCACCACTAAAGAAACAACTAGTCTTCCCTGTGTCCATCACTAAAATACAATCAGCTATACAAAAAGATCAATATTATAACAATTGTCAATAATCAATACAAACACAAGAATTAGTTTTAGACTTTTTTCTCTCTAAAAACAGGCCTTAAATCTCTTGACATTTAACTAAAGGTTTGACACTGTTATGGAACTGTGTCAGTGCTTCAGTTTTCAAATTTCGCAATCAAAATCAAGGTTATGTACAAATTTAAAATTACATACCAAGTACCTTACTTTGAATTAAAATGATGAGATTAAGATTCATTTTAAAATGGTGCCATGGCAGGAGCTCTGGTACCATCTTCTCTGTCTGGTATCACACTAGTCTTGCATAGTTGTTCCATTGTGGTTTTACTGCAAATGGCAAATAAATTCTTGAATCTTGAAGAGATCCTATTTTCGTCCCACAGAGGGGAAATTTCAGTGTTGCATCACCAGTTACAGAACAGTAGGAATGAGGAGGACACAACACAAGATAACTTTAGACTAAAATAGAATAAAATATCTAACTTTAGCTTGATAAAGATTATAGAATTACACGTTATGTGCAATAGAGGATTAAAACAAGTGAGCACTATATAACCATTATGGAACATGAGTCGTTTTTGAGATGGTGCTGGGCGATAATAAAGGCTCAGTTGTTTGATGGGTTTTGACTGGTTCAGAGTTATTCTGGGACACTGTATCCCACCTGTTGGTTACATCACACACTCTGGGGATTCCACATCGCTGAAATTGGAATAATAATAAAACCAAAGTTGTTGAATCACCTGCTGAGTGCATTCATTTGAATTCTCCACAGGAAAATAATAGGCAGGAAATAAACTGTAAGTACAAGCGTGACAGATCGGAAATTAGTATGCAGATTAATACCAATGTGGAGGGATTGGCAGTTTTTAGATAAATAAAGCAACGCAAAATCTATAATCTTATCATCACCGTTCTCAATGTAAATTTTTTTTTACCAAACTGTGGCAGATGGGAGCAAGAGGAGCATTTGATCTGGTACAAATACAAGTCAGGTTTGTGAAGATACATGCCCGCTGACAATGTTTACTGTTTTTCTTTATCATGAAAATATCTGAAAGTGAAAATGCATTTATTTTTGGTTACATGGTGGAGCTTTAAAATATCATCAATGCTTTTATATCAGTGACGGAATGCAGGAAGAGTAGTTTTTGCGTTCTATTCTCAGTAATATTCCCACACTCGAACAAAGCCTTTGAAAAGAAAAGAGGGTGCCACCCACAGCGGCTCATTGCAGGTCTCCAGATGCAAGGTGCGCTTGTTTGTTCAGCATACCCTCAACAGTAGTCTCTCCTTCGCTGGAGACTAATGGAGATCCTAAATAAATATATGAATTACTCATTTAATTGGCGAAATGTCCAGGTGCAATGTGTCAAAGTTCTCAGGTTTACAATAATACCTGCATTCAAATGTAATGTTTAGTATTCCACTGTTTGCTCCTATCAAGAGTTCTGCATTCTGAATACTTATCCATAGATTGCAGTTTATTAATGTCATTATTCTACATTCCAAATGATCAAACACACACACATGCACCAATAATAGATATTTTTGTGTTTCAGCCGTAATAGTGATCCAAACCCTTTGAAAGCCTTACTGCCTAAACCTAAACGTATATGATCATGCTTAGGCTTATTTGTATGCAGCTGTAAGTTTGTTCCACATACGCTCTCGAACACCCATAGGTACCTAAGCCATGAATCTATGCATCACAAATCACGTCTTGGACTCCTCATACATCATTCTAACTAATCTAACAGCAGCACATGGTTCTGAAATATCACTCTGTATCCTATTTGTTTACACAAAGGCATTAAACCGACATGGGAAAAGATGTATCTGTGTAAAGTATTCATGTAGCATTTAAAATTAAAACTTACATGAATTCTTCATTCATGATTCAGTCAAAACATCTATTCATGTAGGAATAAGGTTGATGGATGATAGCAGATTTATATACTGTATATGTGTATGTTCAGAACCACAACAAATATCTGTTTTTAAATTATACATAAACAAGAAACTATTTTTTTCAATAGGACGGCATAAAACTCAAAAGTTTAAATACACTTCATTAGTATTTGGTAGTGTCGCCTTGTGCAATTTTCTCAATATAATTGGCCGGAATTCTGGCCCATTTGTAGGCCAGGTTACTCGCACATCCCTTTTGAGATATTCCCAAATATGTTTGTGGGACGAGGGTCAGGCCTTTGCAAAGTCTTTTTGTAATACTACTACTATTACTACTACCACTGAAATGCTGCTTTAATATTTCTCTGGCTTACAAGATTAGTAAGTAAGTAAAATGTATTTATAGAGCACCTTTCGCAGATAAAAATCACAAAGTGCTGTACAAGGTAAAAGCAGATATGAATGTACAATAGAAATAAGACAAAAATAGAAAATAAAATATAAACAAGAAATCAACCAAAAGTTGCTCTAGAAAGAAGGGTCTTTAGTCCCTTTTTAAAAGCATCGGCAGAGTTGACCACAAGGAGGGACAGAGGCAGGGCGTTCCACAGTCTGGGGGCAACGGACTGGAAGGACCGCCCCCCCCGGGTCTTATAGCGGGTCTTTGGGGCCGCAAGTAAATTCCGGCCTGTGGACCTAAGAGTGCGGCCAGAACAGTATGGGGTCAAGAGGTCCGAGATGTAACAAGGAGCCTGACCATTTAAGGCTCTGAAAGTTAATACTAAAATTTTGAAGTCAATACGTAGTTTAATTGGGAGCCAATGAAGTGAGGACAGGGCCGGGGTGATGTGAGACCACCGGGGGGTTCCAGTTAAAGATTTTGCACAAATTGAATTCTGTTAAGAGCACTCTTATTAAGACAAGTAAACAATGAATTGCAGTAATCAAGACGCGTGGAAACAAAGGCATGAATGATCAACTCCAAGTCCTTCTGTGACAATGATTTTCGAATTTTGGATATGTTTCTGAGATGATAAAAACAGTTTCTAACGAGCTGTTTGGAGTGTGTGTTCAGATTCAAGGCCTGATCAAAAACAACCCCCAGGTTTCTGAGGGAGGACGTCAATTAGCCCTTTTTCCTCCAAATTTAATACACCTTTATGGCCAAACAGTTCTGCTTTCTTCTCAGAATATTCCAAGGCCGGTTTCAGTATTTTTATTTCTATTTTTGTGCAAGTACTTGACTTTGTAAAAATTTGAAAAATAAAAATCTATATTGTGGCATTGAGCTAATGGACATTAAACTTCAGACCCTAAGAACTTACAGTATGCAACAAAAGTAATGATCCTGAAGTTACATGTCGACTATCATTAGCGGTCATGCACAGAAGAGGGGATGTGACTGGTCCAGTGGAAGCCATCGGCAGCTGTGGGCTCTGCATTAGTGCTGCTGTCATGGCCGCTCTCTCTCACTAATGCTCTCAAAGTGAACAGACAGCAGTGCAATGGGCCTCGTAGCTCTCCATTAACTACTTGCCAAGTCGTCTCCGCACCTTTTGACAGGCTGAGCTGAAAAAAAATAGTAAAATGGTGAAATAACCGGCTGTAGGGCAGCGCACCACCGGGAATCTCTTCACATCTAACCCACTTACATTAGTTCTAACAATCTGAAATGTGTCTGAGCTCATTCAGGCGGAGACAGTGAAGCGAAAGAGAAGAAAAAAATGACTTCAGTTTTGATCAGTTTATCAATCAATAATTTCAGACATTTTTGGTAATTCAAAAACAATTTCAGGTCAAAAGAAGGTCTGAAAAAGGAATGCGCAGAAGCTGAATCTACCTACGCTTTAGCAGACATTAAACTTAATTATTATATGACTTGGATCGTTCGCACGCTCTGATTGGCTGATACGCGGTCTGATATTTTCCCATCTCGGACCGTTACCATGACAATTGGTCCACAGCGCGTATCAGATTTGACATCTTTCCTCTGTAAAAAAGAAATAATGAGCGACTGGGAGCATTCTCCAGGGAAATCTATTATCCGGACGAGTTCTAAGAGCCAGAGGAAGTAATAACAGCAATTAACGACAAAAACACAACTCCTAACAGTCAAGAAGAGATTGACAACTTTGTTACAGACCAGAAAAGTAAAAACACGATTAGGAAAACCAAGTCGGACATGAACATACTTCACAAATATCTAAAAAGAATTGGTAAAGACACAGAAGAGATTG